GAGATGAGTCTAGAACAACCAGTTCTGGATAAAATCATGCCAGTTAGCTCTCTGAAATGACCACCCTTCTTTATAGATGTCTGCCAATGATCAGGACTTAATGATTCATTCTAGAATTTTCCCAGGAGTCAAAGTCAAGCTCACTGACCTATACTACGAAGTCTGTTTGCTTCCCTTTTGAAAAATGAGGACACTTTCCCTTCTCCAACCTTGTGGTGTGTCTCCCATTGTCCATAATCTTTCAAATATTACTGACAGTGGCTTAGCAATCACATCTGCCAGTTCTTTCAGTGTCCAAGGACACTGTTCAGCTTGAATTCAGCAAGGTTAGAATTCATCAAGGGCAAATGGATGATTTCTTACTGTGTCCTTACTTATCTTGGGCATCAACTCTTTGCCAACCATTTTTGTTTTGTCATGTCTAGTGCAAAGTTCATTCTCCTTCACAGACAAAACAAGTGGAATAAGAAAGATGAGGCAATGTGTCCGCCTACTATCAGCCCACCCCAAACATATATCCTGTCCCTTCTTTGATCCTTTTCCCCCCATATAAATTAAAACTGAATCTCAAATGAGCTAATGTTTATAAAGCACTTTCCAAACTTTAAAGTGCTATATAAAGGTCAGATGTTAACATCAGTCCCTAGTTTTAGCCACTAATGAGTCTTGGGACCTGACTCCCAGTTACTTCTACAAAATAGAGGTAATATATTACTCCTGTCCACCTCACAGTGTTTTGGTGAGAACAAAATAAGATTGCAAATAGGTAGTATTTTTGTAGTACTTCAAGCCTTACCAGTCACTATCCTCATGACTCATAATCTTTCTGAGCTTTGGTTTCCTCATCTATAGCATGAAAGGCTCGGAATAGACTACTCTTAAAATTCCTCCTAGCTATAAGTCTTGAGAGGTCCTAATATTACTGCCATTTTACAGATTTAAAAAAAAATGGAGACTCAGAGACATCAAGTGACTTATTAAAGATCACACAGCTAGTAACTGTTAATAGCACAGACAAGAACCCAAATGTTTTTAATTAATATCGCAACTCTTTTCAAAACACCACGTTGTCTTCAGTGAAAAGAAATTCCTATCCAAATGTAAGGTGGTAGTACTATCACTTGTCATCCAGATCTGTGTTGGATAAAGGCAAAGACATCCATTTCCAGACAGACTCTGAAATCTCTTACTTTGGAAATCATCATATCTAAGTTAAATTGGCTATATGATGCTTCTGCAGCTGTGAGTCTAGAAATGTCAGCTACTACAAGAACCATTTCCTATGCATAATAATAACTACTGCTTATATTTTGAAGAGTTTTAGGCACTTGCCACTTTGATCTTACCTCAATAGTACAAAGTGGGTAACAAAGGTCTTACTCTCACTTTAAAAATGAGAGGAAATATGTTTTGCATGACTTCGTATGTAAAATGGGTATCGTATTTCTTACCCTCTCAATGTGGTGGGGGGAGAAGGATGGAGGGAGGGAGAAAATTTGGAACTGAAAATAAAGTTTTGAAAAAATTAACAATTAAATGTTTACAAATGTAATTAGGAAATGTTTAACAAAACAAATAAAAATACAATACAACACAAACAGATGAATGAGAAGAAAATGAGCTGTAGCTTGCTCAAGGATACACAGCTAAGTGACAGAGCTGGGACCCAAATAGAGGTTTTATGACTAAGGCATGCAGCTGCTCTAGAAAACCTGAAGACAAAATGTCTTCAAGCCATGGTTACTAAGGGCTCCCATTTTTAAGGTAGTCTCATCTGCTAAGAAAGCAGTTCTGGACTACACCCTAACTCTGCCATGAATGGTTCTCCTTCTCACCTTCTGTCCTAGTCCATTAAGGTGTCTCTGGAAGTCCTCCACCATGGCCACTGCTTCCTCTCCACTTTCTGGACGGTGCAGCTGCACCCAGGTGCGCATCTCCCCAGGCAGGATGGTGATGAACTGCTCCAGCACCAGCAGCTCCAGGATCTGCATCTTTGTGTTCATGTCTGGCCTCAACCAGCGTCCACAAAGGTCACGCAGTTGGCTCAGGGCCTCCTGGGGCCCAGAGGTGTCATGGTAACACAGCTGCCGAAAGTGTTGCCGAAAGACTTCACAGCTGATCTGGCTGTCCTGCTGCAGGCTCGATCCTGGTCCCCGGGATTTGTCCCTCTTCTTCTGGATGCCCAAGAGCTTAGGGGCCAGACACCTGGCTTTCCTCACCTCTGCAGTCATCACAGCCTCTCACCAGAGTCCCTGCCTCTACTTCTAGTCTCAGAACTCTGTCTTGAAAATCTCAGGCCCAGGATGACTTCACCTACAGAGATACCAGAAATCACAGTTAACATTGAGAAATAATCAAGTGACAGAGAGTTCAGGTCCAGGCTAACAAAGTTATCATCACTAGAAGGAAAAACAATATTTCCCATAAGATCAGGGATGTAGAATTGGAAGAAACCTTACAACACTATTTAGTCTAACTCCCCTATTTTACAGATGAGAAAACTGAGGTGCAGAGAGATTATGTGACGAGCCCTTATAATGGCAGGAAGGGTCTGAGACAGGATATGACCCCAGTCTTCCTGGCTCTAAGACTAGTTAGTTCTCTATCCATTCAGCCATGCTGGCTCTCACAATGCTCATTTCTTACAAAAGTCATGCCATCCAGCCTCTGCAAATGGGTAATTCACTCGCCTTGCAAAAGCAAATCTTTCTTTCAACATTATTCACAATAACTCAACTGTGTTCACTTAATTATTATACAACCATCTAATAGACTCTTACAGAATATACTATGTGTGGGGTAGAGGAATTAATCAAGGGAGTTCAATTTGATAAGTCTCTCTCTTCCCTTAAAGCACAAGCATGTCCAGCAGTAACTTATTAAGAGGACAGAGAACAGTTCCTGATTGCATTTGACTCCCTCACAGTTCGTGATAGAGGAAAGAAAAGCCAGGCACAGCATGACCCAAAAACTACCTAAATCTGGAGAAAAGAGATTTCAAATGGTTTAGAAGAAAGATAGGTAAAATTTTCATGGACTAAAATTCTACAGAAGTCTTCTCAAAAGGGGTGCAAAATTCTTGAGAATACAAATTTCAAGACATAAAAAACAATGTAAAGGAAGAAAAACAAGAATTACCTAAAGAGATCAATGTGGCTATACAGGTAACTCACCAACTAATTTGTATTTTTACTTATTTTTTCCCCACTTAATAGTATTTTATTGTTTCCAATTATATGTAAAGATAGTTCTCAACATTCACTTTTATAAGATTTTGAATTCCAAAATTTTCCCCCCTCCTTTCCTCCCCTCCTCCCTCCCTTTATCCCATCCCTCATCACCTAGATGGCAAGCAGTAGGATATAGGCTATACATGTACAATCATATTAAGGCTGGTCTTTAAGAAAAAAAAGAAAAAAGAAAACCAAAATCACTTTGGCTCTCATTGATTGGCTGATAATAGGTCCCAGGCTAAGCCCCACTTGGTCACTGTTTGGGCCTTGATTGGCTCAGAACTAATGTACATAATAATTGTTTCTGTCTTGGCCAGAAATCCTGAGGGTCTTCTCCTTCCAGATCAATTTTTTTAAGAGGCCATTCTTTGCCTCATTTCTTGTTATGCATTAAACACTGAATGGGTGTTACCTCAGTCAAACTGAGACCTGTTATAGACCTTAGCTTAAAAAGGCCAAAGTCCCCCACTGCATCCTGGGCTATCTCCAATTGTCCTGATCGATATCTCGCCACTGGATTCAGATAGCCCTGGAGGAGAAAGTGAGGCTAGTGACTTTGCACAGCCCTCTCTCACTTAAATACAGTTCACTTGAATGTGATGGCATCACCTCCCTGAGGTCATGGTCCTCTTCGAGAGGGAAGGACAAACAAACAGCAGCAACAAACATATTAAACATATTTCCACGTTAGTCAAATCGTGAAAGAAGAATCAGAACAAAACAGAACAACCATGAGAAAGAAAAAAAGAGAGAGAGAAAATGGTATGCTTCAATCTGTATTCAGACTCCACACTTCTTTCTCTGGATGTGGATAGCATTTGCCATCATGGGTCTTTTGGAATTGTCTTAGATCATTGTACTGTTGAGAACAGCTAATTCTATCAAAGTTAGTCATCTGACCATCCAACTTGTACTTTTAGAAGATAAATGGAGAAGACAGAAGCAAAGACAAGTAAAAGGGCAAATATAAAAGTATGGCAAAGACTGATAAAAAATTGATGAAATCGATGCAGAAAAGTAAGGAGAACTGAAAAAGGTTTTGCTTAGGTATTCAGGGGGAATAAAGATCAAAGAAGGGTTAGGACAACCACTTTAAGTGGATGAGATCAGGATACCTGACAACAGAGGGAAGGCAGAGTTACTCAACTATAATTTTACTTCTGTTTTCTTTGTCAAGGAGAATCTTTTATACTAGAAATGAAAAAAAGGAAAAAAGCTAATGAGTTGATACCCAAGATAAAAAGAAATATACCTGCTTTTGATGGATTCAAGATACCTAATTTCATGAACTACATCATCAGGCACTGGAAGAACCAGGAGATGTCTCTGCTTGACTATACATACTTTTTTTTTTCCCCAATGGGGGTGGGGAAAAGATAGATTTGTTTATTGAAAAATACAAAATTAGAAGATTAAAAAAAAAAAACTTAGTCAATGTGACTGCTGGGTCACTGAGTCACTGAAAGATCATAGAGGGTGACTCTGCCCTAGGGACTTATACCTGGTTCTGTACAGTATTACATTTTAAGCCAATAACTTGGATAAAGGCATGGATGGTATTTTCCTCTGCTTTGCAAATCAAAATTAGCTATCTCAACACTGGGAGAGATCCCTAACACCCTGGATGACTGTACATGACACACTTGTTTTCTGGGGGGGCGGGGGGGGTGGGGGGGGTGTGAAGGCCTGTATCTACTCTCCTCCTCTCCCTAACCTCCCCCCCCCAGAAACTCACAAGAGCTGACTTGGGGCAGAAGTACAAAGGCAATGCATGTGTTTCCCCCACTATTTACTTGGCTGAACATTAGAATTTTAGAGCTTGGACTTTCCCCTGCCTAAACTATGGAGCAGCAGAAATGCTATTTCCCATAGAAACTGACTTGTGCTTGCTCACTCTGCTCAAGAGATTTCATGTGTGATGTTCTCTGACCCCACCATTTGGTGTAAGGGAGCAAGGATTTCAGTTACCTAGGCAGCATTACTCTAGAATCCGGCCTTTTAGACAGAAAAGGGAGATTCTTTGGGCAACAGCAGTCTTGGATATTGCCAAGTTCAAGAGTTTAGAAGGCTGGGATTCTAGAGAAGGGCAGGAAGCTCCTGAGCAATATCCCCCTTGGGAAAAAAACAAAAACAAAAAAAACAAAAGAATTGTTCATGTGGCCCCTGAAGTCAGAGGTACA